TCCTTCTCCTCTGATGCTGCTTGGCCTGCTGCGTTCATCCAGCTCTACACCTTGTTATCTCAGATTCTCCAGCATCTGCTGTTCCTACTATCTCTGAAACATGGTTATATAATGGACAGGTCAAGGAAGATTCAAGGCTGAGCCCAGGAAGATCATTAATATACGTTGATTCAATTGCCTAAAACGAAACTGTTTAAACTAAAATGCTGAAATAACCTGTATTATGCAGAGTTACTGTAATCCTAGGAAATAGTTACCAAAGAATTTAGTAAGAATGCTTTAGTGAGATAAGCTGACTGTGATTGACCAGGCTTATCTCTATCACAGTAACGCTGGACAATTTCCCATCCCTTAAAGAAATTAGTCAGTTGAGATAGGTCATGCCTGAATGGTCAGCATAGTCCTCTTCAGTTTAAAAACACAACAAGCAGACAACAACGAATAAAACTTGTCTTTTCTCATTGTGTTATGCTGTAAAAACACTACAATTCCAGATTCCAGGTGCAAACCCTGGCTTCTAGTCTGGCATAGGTACAGGCAATTCTGAGAAGTCAGTTGTAGAATAAATCACAAAGAACAAAATAGAAAAGAATTATAGAATCCCTACAATGTGGAAACGGGCCATTCATCCCATCGAATTTACACCGTCCGAAAAGCATCGCAACCAGACCCAGCTCCCTACCCTATCCCTGTAACCCTACATATCCCATGGCTAACCCACCTAGCCTGCACATTCCTGAACACTATGGGCAATTTAGCATGGCCAATCCGCCTAACCTGTGCATATTTGGGCTGTGAGAAGAAACTGGAGCATCCGGAGGAAGGCCACGCAGACACAAGGAGAATGTGCAAACTCTGCATAGTCACCCAAGGGTGGAGCTGAACCCAGGTCTCAGTGTTAACCACTGAACCCCAAGGGTAATATCATATTCTTAAAAGTATTGCTCAATAATTGTGATTAATTTAGAGCTTTGTTTGGCTGTGTCAATGAAGGATTTGGTCACCACAAACAAGATGGCAGGAGTGAAATCATGATGAATCTGGTGCCTGCAGCAGGACCCCAATTCTGGTGAATTCTTTTGACTGGTTCCAACTCTCTACACAGCCAGGGTTTGCAAGTTAACATCAGAGATTTAAAAAAAAGCACATCGAATGAGCCAGAGGATCAAGTGGAACTGAGGAGCAGTGCAAGTCTGAAACAGCGTGAAGTGGTATTGTTATAGAGTGGTCGAGAGTGTGCACATTACAATGCACGGCACTGAATGTAGATCAAAGGATACAGTGAGAGCAGCTGTCTGGAACATCAAGGAGATACCTCTGATCCTGGGTTGATTCAAAATGCAAGGGATGAAACGGAATTAGAATCCACATGGGGTAAGTGTGAGCCAGAGGCAGTTACTGAGGAATGTGATGTGGCTGTTGAAACATGTTTTAGCAAATACCTGGTCAAACACCAGGTGCAACAGTGAAACTAATGATGGTTAACAAGAAAAGAGATTGGAACGGAAATCCTGTTGGAGAGAGGAGCAGAACTTCTTCAAAGTGGCAAGCCTGGAAGAGACGTGGCAGTGAGTTAAACACTAAACAAAATACGTAAAATTATTGAACTCTTAACATTGAATCCTGAGGGCTGCAGGGTCCCCAAGTGGAAAATGAGATGCTGTTCTTCCAGCTTGGGCTGAGTTTTCCTGGAGCACTACAGCAAGCCTGAGACGGCAATGTTGGCCAGGGAAAATGGTGGTGTGTTGACGTGGCAGGCAACCAGAAGCTCAGGGTCATTTTTGTGATCAGAATGTAGGTGTTCTGAAAAGCAGTCACCTAGTTTGTGTTTCATCTCTAAAGGGACCATATTGGTGAGACATATAAATATACTAACCTTTTCCTAGCTACAATGAGTTCTGAAGAATGGTAACTGGACCCAAAATGTTAAATCTGCTTTCTCTCCACATTTGCTGGTAGACCTGCTGAGTTTTTCCAGCAATTTCTATTTTTGCTTCTGATTTCCAGTATCCACCATTCTTTGGGTTTTTTGTTCACTGAGGTGATCCTTTTGCTTGCCAGGATCTTCTGTTTTTCGATGAATCTTCTCCAGGTTTTATTTTACTTCTTCTCAGGAGGCAAAGACAATTGATACACCAACTATAAAGCATCTTAGTTTCTGGTTAAAGACCAAAGCTTATCGTAACTAGTGAGGGAAAATAAACTAGCTACATCTGAGCTTTAGGTATTTTATTGGAAAGAAGGTCATATCATCTGCCCTTACAGCAGTCTGAATACCTTGCTCAGTATCATCCACCTTGAAAAGCTGTTCAGCTATTCAGGAGCCAATTGCATAACTGTTGTAATGCCGATGGCCTTTGGCATTCACAACTGGTCACAACTCCACAAACCAATCAGCAACCAGTTGCCGGGCGTATTGCACTTTGTTTAACCAGTGTGGGTTGCTGTTTATAGACACTCCTGTTTATACACAGGGTGTATACAAAGCAGCACTATAAACTTACAATATAGTTGAGCACTTGCTTTTAAGAAGCTTTTTTTAAAAAATCACTCATGGGATATGGCTATTGATGGCTTGGCCTGCATTTATCGCCAACCCTGGTTGCCCTTGAATAAAACTGACTGCTTTTTTAGGTTATTTCAATTAGAAGTGACTACATCTCTATGGATCTACAGTAATGTATAGGCCAGACCAGTCAAGGATGGCAGTTTCCTTCTTTAAGACCTTCTGGAAACCCTTTGGGTTTACAACAATTCCCGATTTTTTTTCATTGAATTCCAATTCCATTATCTGCCATGGTGGCATCCAAACCTGCATCACCAGAACATTACCTGGGGTATCTGGACTATTGTTTAGTGACAATACCTTTAGGTCATCGCTTCCCTTTTGACAGCAATCCCTTCGATAATCTTTGGTTTTAAAACATTCTTTTATCCATTTCAATCCAGAATCAGGAATTGTAACACAATTCTAAATCAGGATGATATGTTCCTTGGATGGGAACTTATTTGGTGATGTTCCAATACATCTGCTGCCTTAGCTGTCTAGGCAACAAAGATCATGAGCTTGGAAGGAGCTGTCTAAGGTGCCCTGGTGAACGTTGCAGTGTATCTTGTATATGGTATATGCTGCTGCCACTGTGCATCAATAGTGAAGGCAGTGAGTCTTTAAAGTGGTGAAGTGGGTGCTAATCAAGTGGGCTGCTTTATACTGGACAGTGTGGAGCTTCCAGAGTATTGTTAAAGCTGCACTCATCCAGGCAAATGTTTAGAAACTTCAAGAGAGGAAGGTTTTCCATTCCATTAAATGCTCTGCTGAGTTTTCTCAATGAAATCAGAACTACTTTTTGTGGGTTGCTGCAATTCAAACTTAATTTAAAAAACTGATCACCTAGAACTCCATTTGAATTTGGAGTTTTGTACTTTACTGCCAAGGAAAAGAAATGACAAGCAATTACAGAAAAGCATTTTCAATTAAATGAAAACATATTCTCATTTCTCTAGATTGACAAGATTAACATAAGCTCCACAGGATATTATATTGACAAAAGAATGAACCATTTATTTCTTTGCATATTTTATTTTTTCAATTTTAGTTTTGAATTGACACACATCTGGCATATTTTACATCTTTGCCATAAAACAGCGTTACAATAGCTCAAGGATTTTGTATATCCAAAATATTTCACTATGATTTCCAGATGAAATGAAGTTGTTTTCCAGATGCTAATTCCCCCCTCCCAATTCTAGACTAAAAACTCATAATATTGCTCACGTATGTGATGTACAACTTAATTACGCAGTCAGACTTTCTTCATGGTTTTAATTGTTTAAATACAAACAACAAGTAAAGAACTCAGTGCTAAAATTTACTATTACAGTGTGGATGGCAAATCAATAATCACAGCAATAAATAATGTTTCTGGTGCAAAATGCCAATACAAAGAATCCAATAATTATTTAATTAAATAAACAACTGCGAGTGAGTGTAATTTCCAAGAAAACTACATTCCTGTTTACATGCCTCTTAGCCCTACCAACACAGTTATGTACATCTATGACTTTTGACAATACAGTCACCAAATATACAAAGAGGAAAACATGAAGTGATTTTTTTTACCCCGTGTATGTGTTTAATTTGAATAGTATGCCAGAAATATTATTAAATGATTTTTGCTACAGTAAAAAAAAATGCAATTTACTCCTAATCTTGTGCCTACTAGGAAAGCTGAAAATGCAGTTTATAAGCTGGAGAAGCTGAGATCTCATAATATTCACCTCATTAATATAACTTTTACAGTGTATAGAAACCAAACTGTGTTTGTAAAATAACAACACAAAATTGAATGGGGCTCTCATTGCCACACTGTAAAATTAGATAACCAAGTCAACTTTGTCCTCAATGCTATAAATGATAGTTATTTTCTACTGAGTTCCACCAGTATATTTTTTGGAAAAATTATCTTAAGGAACACTAGGTATATAGACTGCATGATGGAACTTCAAAACTGGTTAAGAAACAGATATTTCAGGATTTTCAGTTTCTATCAAAGGTAATGAATTAAAGTAGAATTTATGAAAAGTATTATTTCATAGATTGGGTACAGGCTGCAAATGAAGAAGAATGCATTTTTTAAAATGCTTGTCTCTTAGTTTGCAGTATTAAGAATAATAACTGGATACATTCTTCACAATCTTTTTTATGACACATTATTAATAGAATTACTTGGAAGTATTAATTAATTAACATTCTGATTCAATTAGTTTACATTACTGAATGATAAACTAATATGGCATTCATTTGTTGTAGCTGGTGCTCAGTGATAGAAAAAAAGAAAATGACCATTGTGATTGCTTTTACACATAAAGAATACAATGTACAACTATTGCTAGATGTAATGGAATGTATAACAGACATCAATGCAGAGGGCATCATGTTCCACCACTTATGCCTGGATGTTCACTGCAGCACTTGTGCTCTCAGCTAGAACTGGCAATCACACTTCCGCCTCCCCTAAAATTGGCTTAGTATCTGTTCTGATGTTCATAATGCCACCGGTTGAAATCTATGTTAAAAGCTACAATACTGCCCGAAGCCATGCCTGTTATCAGTGTCCTGTAACAGATATAAAATAATATTATATTTAATATATGATCTTAGAACATTACTTTGCACAATGTAGACAAGTATAACCTGGTTACTTTGACACAATTTCCTAGACGAATTATGTTTTTGAATCAAATATGCATCATAATCAGTAAATTAACCTTAAATGCATGACTCTTACGGTGGTGTTCCTCTAAGAACAATGTGTTGAGCCATCTTGGAATTGTGTAACAAAATCAATCTGTAAACCATAGAAATGTACAATTCTGATAACTCAGTAGATTTCATGTTGCTCTTACATCTCCACTGTTTGGTTATGAACAATTAATTCACCACAACTACCTCAATAGTAGCTCTTCTGATGGTAAGCCGTAGCTCTTTAAGAACTGCTATTTCATCCAACTTCATACTGCCAACATTGTATGTCATACGGCAAGCTATATCAGTGTTAGTATTATGTTCAAATTACAGGTAGGATCACATTATTGAAAAATTCATTATGCTATGTCCCCTACATTACTATAATTGATATTACTTCATTTTGGACTCAGAAGAGGTCCAGACTTCAAGCAAAAACATTAATGAATACAGTTGTGTTGCCCTTCCCAATCACAAAAAATCTCCTGACACATCAAAAAGGAAACTGGATGGTTGCCAATGCCTAGAAAAACTGCACATGAGCTTGAATCACTGTTTTCAGGAGAGGAAGAATAAGGACTATTGGGAGAGGGGGCAGGGGGAGAAAACTCAGAAGTTCAACCCCACACAGTTTCACATCATATGCCAAATCTGGTGTGGTAGTAATCAAAATGGTTTTACACGCATAACATCTGGTACTGCAATAATCATCCATAACTTTAATCTTCATATGAATTGGACAAATCAAAGTGCTAAAGCGAAATTAAGGATAGTTTCACAGAGTGCATTGGTGATGCTTTTTTAGAGTACACTGTAGAACTATGAAAAAGAAAAAGAAAATACTGGAGAAACTCAATAAGTCTGGCAGCACCTGTAGTGAGAGGAAAAAAGTTAACATTTTGAGTTCCAGATGACTTCTCAAAACTCATGTGTGTTTATTAAAAAGCAAAGATTTAAACAGAGACTGACCACAGAATCATGCAGTACAGACTGATTGGATATCCTCATACATGTAACATGAAAATATAACATGCAGATTTTGCAGGGACAGCAAGTAAGTAGGAAGACAAATGAAATTTTAGCCTTTATTGTAAAGGTGTTGAAGTAGAAAAACAGCATGTCTTGTTACAATTTTGCAGGGTGTTGGTGAAAACTGCACACAGTTTTAGGTTCCTTATTTAAGGAGAGATAGATCTGGTTGATCCTTGAGATGATTCTGTCTTGAGGAAGGTTGAGTAGGATCTACCCAACGGTGTTTAGAAGCAAGAGAGATAACCTTATTGAAAAACACAAATCCAAATTTACAAATTAATAGGGTAGATACTGAAAGGATGTTTTCTTGTGTGGAAGAATGTGGAATCAGTGGGCAAAGTTTCTGAACAAGGGGAGTCCCAATTAAAATGGAGATGAAGAGAAATTTCTTCATTTGGAGGGTCTTTGGAATTCTCGAACCCAGAGAGCTACAGAAAATCAATCATTCAATACGTTCAGCTTTGAGATGGACAGACTTTTGAACTATACATTTATCAAGGATGTGGGAAACAGTCAGGAATGTGAAGTTCTGGCCAAGATCAGATCAGTCATCATCCAGTAAATGGCAAAGAAAGCCCAAGGGATCATACGGCCTGCTCCTACACATTTCTTAAGTTATTATTTTCATTCTCCTTCATTCCAAATTCCTATCCAAAGGTTGAGGAATTTAAAGCTTTCTTTCTGAAATATGATAAAATGGAAAAGAATCCAGTACATAGTGCTAAAATATAATTGATGTTTAGTAATATAATTATTGAAACTCAAGCAACTTATTGTAGATACATACAAATTATAGGTCATTTGCACCACAAGCCTGCTCTGTCATTCAATAAGACTATGATTGATCAGTTGGTGTTTTGAATTCCTATGTACTCTTGATAGTCTTTGACTCCCCTAATAAAATCTATCTACTTTGGCATTGCAAACATTCAGTGGCTCCACCTCTACTTCCTCCTGAAACAGAGTTCCAAAGTTGTATAATACTCAGAGGAAAAAAAAACGCATACCTCCCAGAAATCCAATAACAGGATGTGAATGGGCTCCCCTTTATCCAAGGTGAATGTTACTCCTTCAAACAACTCCAATAAATTGGTTAAACATGATTTCCCTTCCTTAAAACCATATTCACTCTTCCTGATTACCTTCAGTGTTTCTAAGTAACCTCCATCATGATCAATTCTAACACTCTCCCCACAATAGGCATCAAGCTAACCTGCCTATAGTTTCCTATTTTCCATCTGTTTCCACTCTTGAATAAATGGGTTTTATTGTTAATTTCCAGTCTGACGGAAACCTTTTCTGAATCTGGAAAATTTTGGAAAATTAACAGCAATGCACATTGCATGCTCAATTATACCATATTATCCTTGTTTAAGCCCCAAATCAACTGAGAACTATGTACCCTTTTGTAACATAGCTTTGGTTATCCTGTTTATTTGAAAATTGTAACCTTTGCTATTACAAGTTCACTGTAATTGTTAAGGTAATAAGTCCTCAGTAAGCCACAAATAATTTGATTTTCTAGCAACGTAAGAGGGAGTTCCTTGCTACATTAACTGGAATGCATAATTTCCATGTAGCAGCATTCAATTCCAAATATTTTTGACCCATTAGGGTCTATTTAAGCAAATTAGGAAGATCATACAGCTGGCACAATAAATATTATTTCTAAATTTAAAAAAAAACAAAGCATGTTAAATTTGAATACTTATTTGTCATGGTTTCCTCCATTAATATCTAGCTTCCCTTGATATTTTCTCATATATACAAGTAATTTGAAAATATGACAACTTTCACAGCTCCTCCACAAATATAATTCACACTAAAGTATTCACACGCGTTCTTGCTTTATGCTTATTATACGTAATATTATGTTGTATTTGCATTTATTTTAATTTTCAAATCAAATTTGCACAAACAATATTAATGAATTATTGCCATCTTACACACAGGCAAAGAAACACCTAAAGTATGGCCATGCTGATCAAATGATCTTTCCTCACTTCACTTTATGTTGCCTTTTTTGGGCAGTGATCTTGGTTTTTTTTGTTGGAAAATGCAGAAGTGACATTCCGAAGAGGATACAGCACTGAAGGAGTTCTTAGAGAAGGGCAAATACTTCTCTGCTTTTAGGGAAGATGTTTGTAAGACAATGTATTATTCCCCTTCTTTCTATTTAGCTTTGAACAGGATCACCATTGAAACAAAGCACAAGGGGAGCCTTCAGGAGAAGTTAAGCTTTCCACCAATATATCAGGTTGGCTTGGCACCCAAGAAACGTCAGCTCTGACATCTTTATGCCTCTGTAACCATTATAGATCTTTAACGGATAGGTAATATTGAAGCCTAATATTGATTTTCTACCAAATGTCAAACTGTGAAAGTTCACCTGATGGCAATATTGCATAAGAGGGGAATCCATAATTTTTGATACAGATTTTAAAGGAACTCGCATTGAGTGTGCTTCTGTGCAGCTCAACAAAATCAATCTCTTTGAAGTGCACTTTGGTGGGATCATAGGAAGATATCATAAATATCAGTCAGATCACAAATGCTATTAACAAAATTAGCAGGAATGAAACAGAACCAGAGATAGAGTGTGCTTTTGAAAATGTATTAATTGATTAAAGACAATCAGGGTAGATTTATGAAGATGAAGTCATGACTAGCTAATCACTGGAGGTTATCACTGACCATGAACTAAACTGGACCAACTATTTAAATATTGTGCCTACAACAGCAGGAAAGAGGCTGGGAATTCTGCAAGGAGAAACTTATCTCCTGCCTTCCAAAAGCTCAATTACTATCAATCAGGTGAAAGTGAGGTAGCACTTTTTGCTTGTCTGGATGAGTGCAGCTCAAACATCACTCAACAATATTGCAATCATCCAAGAAAAGGATTGTGTGACTGGCAAACATCAGCGCTCAAATTCATCCTGAAATCCCCAGAAAGCTTGGGAAACTGAATCATGGAGGTAACCAATCTGAGAAAAGTCACCACTTAAAGCAGAATGGACAGCAATAACAAAAAAATGAAACGAAGATGGATGAATGAGCTGCACAGGCAGATGGAGGTGTAAGGCTGGCAAGAGTTTTCCAGGAACATCTTTTACCAGGGTCTAGGTGGTAGCCTGATGGCGGCGGTGGGGAGGAGTGGGTATTGGTGGCGATGGGAAAGCCAGTGGTTGAATTACCGTGGAAGAATTTAGCTGGAGATGCCAAGATCGGGGTCCTTTTGGTGTAGATGCTTAGACCAGGAGGGGGGTTGGGAGAAAGGGAGAGGTTACAAGGGGAGGAAAAAGCTGAAAGTTTGGGTATGCAGCAAGTGGCAAAGGAACAGAGGCTGCAAGCAGCAGGGAGAGAGAGACTACAAGCTTGTGAAGAGCAGAATGATAGGGGAGCTATATGTTAGGTGGAGGGGTAGTAGGAGGCTGAAAAGGACAGAAAATAGTTGTAAAGCTGTCAGCAAAGGAATAGGCAGCTAAGAAAACTTGAAATCAGTAATGATATTCTTGCAAATGAATGGGGAATCTCTAGCTTAAGGCTGCATCTATTCATGAGCTATTCTATGGGAAATGATGTGGTGGATGCTATTGTAATGAACACTGGCTCAATTACTAAATGTAAATCTGAGAATAATCTGAGATGCAGTAAAAGGGCTGGTAATTGCTTGTTAAAATTTTTCAATTTCGTACTAATGTCCTAGAAGCACATTAGCTGTCATTTCAACACTATGCAGAAGATGTAATTAGAATGATAGCTTTTTGCGTGGCAGCATGGATCAGTTATTTTGCAACAATTCCTTTTGTGCTAATTTATGCTTGCTGTTTGTACCAATTTAAATAATGTGATGTCTAAGAAATTACTGTTTTCCCTCTGTGTTGTAGCTTTAATTTCAATGGAGGATTGATAATTATTTGTATATATTGATGAATTCTTCTAATTCTGCTTCCATGCAAATGCAAATACTGAATATAACATCATAAATACAAGAAGTAGTGTTACTACATGACTGCATCACCTAATAAATGAGCTAATGAGAATAAAAAAGGTCCCGAAAATCAAAACGTTACCCTCAATAAAATCTGAAGAAAAGCCTAAAAATAAATTAGGCCCTCCATCCTATCTGATAATTTTATTCCACCTCACGAGTACACATTAGCAGCCATGTGTACTACATACAACTTGCCAAAGTTCTGTTCACAGCACAGTCTCAATCTGCCACTTTGAAGGGTAAGGGCAGCAGAGGTACAGGAGCACCACCACCTGTAAGCTCCTTCTCAAATCACACAAAGTCCTGGCACACCTATACCACATGGGCTTCAGCAATTCAAGAAGATAGTTCATCACTTTCTTCTCAAGGGCAATTATGGATGGCCAATAAATGCTGCCTTGCCAGCGATGCTCACATATAGAATACATTCAGAAAATCTCAATGAATTTTTTTGTGCAGGTCACTAGCTTGATGGACTAGGGAGTATTCCATAGATGTCGTCTCTATGGACTTCCAGAAGGTTGGGTAGAAGACATTATTAATATAGGTACAAGCATCCAGAACTGGAGATATGTTTATGATATAGGCTAATTATGGATTAAGAGGTGACAAAGGAATACATAAAAACACAGACAATGAACTTGTTCTCTGATTGATGAGATATAACAGTGATGTTCCCCAATAATCTATCTGGGGTCTCATCATATTATCGTATATATTAACATGTTGGATGAAGCAATAGAGAATTTTGAGTTTTCAGATGATATTAAGTTTGGTGGCCTAATAAGTCGTGTGCAGAGCAGAAGTTTCAAAGGGATAGAGAGAGGTTGTTGCAGAAAAACTGGAAAACCTACCTGGAACATGCATTAAAATCTTTAAGGATATAGGTAGAAATAGTTAATGGTCACATGTTAATGAAGGGAAAATTTGGTGAGCGCTTGACTGGGTGTTTATACATGGCAAAAAAGTAGTGTTGTTGGAGCTTTTGGACTGTGAGTAGAAATGCAATTCTAACCAGAAAGGTATTTTCCTGGAATCTGCCAAATCAGCATTTAACCTTTGCTATTTAACACATTTAGCCTACAATACTCAAACCTTTAACGTTTATTTTTATAAAATACCTAATTTCTTTTAAAAATAATTTATAGACACTCCTTCAAGAATGTGCCACAGCATAAACTCAAATTCTAACCACCTGCTGTGTCATTATCTTTCTCTTAATTTCCTTTTGAACTCTGTAGAATCTTAATTCTGTTCGCTGTTATCACTTGCTAACTTACTAACCAGTGGGATGCCATGATACCATTTCATAGTCTTTTATATTCTCTAGCTGTCATCCTTAACCTTCTTTAATAAAAGAAAATCCAAACTACTGAAATTTCATTACATTACTGTAAGCCTTCCTCTTTGGTAACATGCCAGTTGATCTATGCTGCACTCTAACATTATTGTTATATCTTGGCTCTACTGGGGGTATCAAAACCCTGACACAATATTCAAACATCACTATGGAATTATTTTATTTGAAATAGTAACAATATATTAATGAAACTTATGTTACATCCCAATTTAATACTTTCTGTTACCTTTGATCATGTGACAGGTCCATAGCTCTGATGCCAGCATCGCAACCAGGATAAATATATAGTTGCTTGAAGTCACAGGCTTGCCACACTTCAACTACACCATTATCGCCACCTGTTACCAGGTTTTGTCCATCGCTGCTGAGAAGTAATGCCTTGAGGGAAGATATATCACTATTCAGTAATTTAGAAGATTTTAATATCTTTTAATTATACTAAATTGCATCAAACACCAATGGAAGAAATTGGAGTTATGTACAAAATGAGAGGCACAATTGCAATGTGAACCCAAAATTTGTGCACAATTTTGACCAGGTTTCAAATGTATGACATCTGTCACCTGGTTGTATATATATTTTTTATTAGTTCATGGAATGTGGGCATCGATGTCTGGGCCAGCATTTATTGCCCATCCGTTGTTGACCTTGAACTGAGTGGCCATTTCAGAGGGCAGTTAAGAGTTAAGCACATTTCTGTGGGTCTGAAGTCACTGTAGGCCAGACCAGCTAAGGACAGATGATGTCCTTCTCTAAATTCCCATTAGCAAACCAGGTGGATTTTTCTAACAATCAACAATGGTTACATGGTCACCATCAGACTAACTTTTAATTTCAAATTTTTTTAACTGAATTTAAATTTCATCATTCGACATTGTTGGACTTGAACATCTGTCTCCAAAATATGAGGAATTCTGGATTACTAGTATAGTGATACTATCACTGCACCATGAATTCCTTGCATCATTAGAAAATTAGAAATTGGTGTTGTTGGCGTGCAGATGTGTCAGGGCTTGGGGAGACGATAACTGGGAGGAACTGTGATATGGAACTTAAGTGGAAGTCTGGCTCTACTACTGGAAAACTGAAGAAAATTGTATTTCCTATTTACAGTTAGTGGCTTTAAGCAGCTCCTTTTAGGACCAGTTAGACTACTTCACAATCAGATGGAACAAACTGGGCTTTGCTTATTTTCTGAATGGCACCCAAACATATTGCAAGGCAAAACAGAATCACTGAATGCTAAATCCAGAATTTCTAGACTTGGCAGTGAGTGATTGTTAAAAGGAAGAAGTTGGCCCAAGTGGACAAAAATATTAAAGTACAGAACAGTTGAAGAACAGTGGCAAATGCTTAAGGAGATGCTAAATGCCCTCTCAATTAAAGTATATTCCTGAGAGAAAGAGGAATTGTAAAAGTGTCAAAAATCATCCGTGGCTTAACAGTAAGTCAAGGATAACATAATGGCAAAAACTAGGGCATATCACACCGCAAAAGTTGGTGGCACTCTGGAGGAGAACTTTAAATGTCAGCAAAGGGTTACTAAAAACAAAATCAAAAGAGCTAAGATGAACTAAGAAAGGAAATTAGCAGAAAACATAAGCACCAATACCAAAAGCTTTTATATGTATATAAAAAGGGAGAGAATAGTGAAATTAAATGTAGGCCCTTTACAGCTTGAAAATGGCAAGATAATAATAGGAAACTCAGAAATGGCAGAGGCAATAAATCCATATTTTGTCTGTTTTCAGAGTGGAAGACAATTTCTTCCTAAAAACTGCAGTTACTACAGAGGAACTTGGTAAAATTACTATAACTAGGGAGAAGGAATTAAGTAAACTACTGGGGTTAAAGGCAGATAAGTCCCTGGGGCCTGATGGCCTGTACCCTAGACTATGAAAAGAAGTGGTAGCAGAGATAGTGGATGCATTAGTTATGATATTCCAAACTTCCCTGGATTCTGGAAAGGTACAACTGGATTAGAAACACGCTAATGTGACACCCTTATTCAAAAAAATGAGATAGGCAAAAAGTGGGAAACTATAGACCAGTTAGTTTGACCTCTGTAATGGGGAAATTGTTGGAGTCAATCATAAAGGAGAGAATAACAGAATACTCGGATGGTGATGGCTAGCATGAGGGGACATAGCTTTAAATTGAGGGGTGATAGATATAGGACAGATGTCAGAGGTAGGTTCTTTACTCAGAGAGTAGTAAAGGCGTGGTATGCCCTGCCTGCAAAAGTAGTAGACTCGCCAACTTTAAGGGCATTTAACTGGTCATTGGATAAACATATGGATGATAATGGAATACTTTAGGTTAGATGGGCTTCAGATTGGTTTCACAGGTCGGCGCAACATCGAGGGCTGAAGGGCCTGTACTGCGCTGTAATGTTCTATATTCTATGTTCTAAAACAAAGCTCAATTCATCGGTATTAGCACAGTTTCATGAACGGCAAGTCGTACTTGACAAACTTTCTGCAGTTCTTTGAGGATGTAACCAGCAAGGTAGATAATGGGAATTTGGTGGATGTGGTATATCTAGATTCCCAGAAGGCATTTGACAAGGTGCTGGAGGTTAGATCATAGGGAGTTAAGGATAGAATATTGACTTGGATTGGTTGATTGACAGAAAGGAAAGGTTTGGGATAAATGGGCCCTTCTCTGGATGGCAAACTGTAATTAGTGGGGTGCCACAGGGTTTGGTTCTTGAACCTCAATTATTCACAATCTGTATAAACGATCTTCAAGCAGGGACAGAGTGTAACATAGCAAAATCCGTGGATAATACTGAAATAGCTAGGAAAGCAGGCTGTGATGAGGTGGTGAAAAGTTTACAAATGGATATTGATAGGCTAGGAGAATCAGCCAAAATCTGGCAGATGGAGTAAAATGTGGATAAGTGTGAGGTTATCCATTTTGGCTGGAAAATAAATTATTATTTTAATGGGAAGGAGATTCAAACTGTGTCAGTGCAGAGGGATCTGGGTGTACTTGTTCACATAAAGTGGTAGGTGCAGCATATAATAAGAAAGGCAAATGGAATCTTGGCATTCATTGCAAAAAGACTGGATTATAAAAGTATAGAATTGTTGTCACAATTATAAAAGGCACTGGTCAGACCATACCTGGAGTAGTGTATCCAGTTTTGGTCTCCATACTCGAGGTAGGATATAGTGGCTTTGGAGGCTGTTCAGAGGAGGTTCACCAGATTAATTTCAGGGATGAAAGGGCTGTCATATGAGGAGTGGTTGAATAGGTTGGGCTTGTACTTGTTGGTGTTGAGAAGAATGAGGGGGTCGGGATCTGATAGAGGTATATAAAATGCTAAAGGAGATTGATAAGGTGGACGTTGAATGTACATTCCCCATTGTGGGACAGTCTAGAACAAGAGGTCATGGATGCAGAGTGATAGGAGGTAGGCTCAAAACTGAGGTGAGGCAAAACTCCTTCTCTCAGAGGGATGTGAATCTGTGGAACTCACTGCCCCCGAGTGCAGTGGAGGCAGAATCAATCAACAGGTTCAAGAAAGAAATAGATATGTTTCAGATGAAAAGCAGGATACGAGGGTATGGGAGTAGGCAGGAAAGTGGAGTTGAAACCAGGATAAGGTCAGCCATGGTCATGTTGAATGGCAGAGCGGGCTTGAACAGCTGAATTGCTGATGCCTGCTCCAATTCATACGTACCTATGTTCCTAAAACTATTATCAATGATTCATTGCCTATCAAGGAACACTGAGGTATTTCATATTGTAAAAATAAATCATTTGCTTTTATAATATTTCCTTGATGATTAGAAATCATTTATTAAGTTCAGCTTAGATGAATTTTCTCCTGTGTTCATTGAAGTTAGAAACTTAATTGCTGGGGAATAAAGCCTTGTATCAGAAGTGACTAATGTTGGCGATACCTAATCCATCAAGCTCATATATAGCAGTATGTGAACTCCACCTTAGAAATTGTCAGCTGAAGAGTTTTCAGCAGTAACTGAAGCTTCAAAAGTTCCAAGACTGAGAATTAAAGAACAGGTTTGATCATTTGAATAAACACCTGCAAAAGAAAAGTACTGTTCCAAGCTGATGATAGCAAGCTGGGAAAAGCATGAAGAATCCAAACAGTCATACCCTTAAAGTCTACTATGCTAAAAAGAAATGGTATATCATGTTTTTGCACATTGTGTGCCACTTACTCTAGTTGAATCATTGGTCTCCATCTGACCTAATAATTTGCCATTGATGCTAAAATTACAGAATCTTCCTCGCTCATAGTAGATGATGCAATGACCTTCACTGGATACAGAGATAAGACGTGGGTAGACACAGTTTTCTGGTCCCTCCAGGGCTCTAAGAAGATCTCCAGTAATTGTATGCACCAAACATGGTCCTTCTATGTAAAAAAAACATGAATATATTCAGAAAAACCTCTAACATCTGCCAGAAAGGAATGAAATTGTTCATTCCCACTGATGAGTGGCACTTTGTGATTAAACAAGGCTTAAGGGAAAACACAGGATCATTAAAATAACAAAAGTATTAATACTTCCTGCTGAGGCATGCCTGCTCACCTTTGGCACCACTGATGACAAGTCCCAGTTCAGCGCACACAGATACAGAAACTACTTCATGGTCATGCCCAGTCAAGACAGCTCTAGGAGCAGGATAATCACCTAAAAATAAAAACCAGAGACCGTGTAATTTAGTAAAAAAAAAACCGAATATATATCTAGGATATTGTTTAGATGAACATATTACTCATATTGTATGCTCTAAATTAAAGCAACATTGCCAACACCAATTAGTTTTACATTCTGTTAAAAACATGATGCTTTTAAAATTTCAGCAATTACTAATCTTTATTTCTTTCACACAATTGCCCAAAAAGAGGGAAGGAGAAATGTATGAATTCTCTTTATGGTATCACCATAGGGGCACAGGTTCATTTCACTTCTCAGTTTGCTTTTCTTTCTCCCCTAACTGGACTGATGAAAGAAAATCATAAGCTGAGGTGAGAGTGTCTGCCCTTGATAGGCATTTGTCCATAACAGAAAAAGAAACCAGAGTAAAACAAATAGGGAGGATCAGGGAAAAATTTTCAGTAGCTACAGCCTTGCCTGACATAAAGGAAGATGATTGTGGTCACTGAAGGTCAATCATCTCATTCGCAGTCATCAAAGTACTGATTTGATTTCTGAAAAGTATACAATCTAATTTTACCAGCTGAAAGGGTGAACTGGAATTGTGTAGCAGCAGGTAAAACGCTACAACAAGGCATCCCCACTTGTCCAATCCTTGCCCTTATGGGCAGGAAACAATGCAAGATAAAAATACACCCAAAGAGTGGGTGGTGGTGAAAATATAAGTAAACTAACCAAATGAAATGCAAACTATTATGAAATCTTCAGCTTGTAAGCAAGATTTTTGTTTTTGCTTTTGTTTAAAAGGGTGGTTTTCAATTCCACAAGAGAAAGAGGCATCTTGGGAACATGGCACAGAAAAGGTAACAGTAAGGTACCTGTAATAGATGTCTAGAACCAGAAGAATCTTTTTAAAATAAATTGATTATTCAGTCACAAGCAAGTCATTTCTAACAAATGTGATGAGAGGTTAAAGGTTGTATCATGAATGCAGACAAAGAAGAAAAACTACTTCTTGACAATAAAAGTGGGCTTTCAACTTGAATCTCTCTACATTTTGTGCAATATAATTGAATTCTCAGCCCACTGTCTTCCTCTGCAGCCAATGTAGCAAAAACTGTCATGCTAGATTTGTAACCCTGATGCTTAGCATAGAACTGACCACCACAGTGCAAATTGTCATCTTACAGGATGGAAGACTGTCACCATATTTGGGTTATAGCCATCATTATACCAACCAGGTGATACTTCTTGCATGCTATATTGGATGGATTAATGTGAAACATACCAAAGTCTGCAGCAAGGGATTTTAAAAAACGACATTGAGATAGAGAAGTTCCCTTCTAAAAATGGTAAATAACATCTTGAAATATTGTATTGAAAAAATAATTTAATGGAAAGTGCATATTAATACTTGCTCATGTACGACACAGATCCCAATCACTTTTGATTTAAAACATGCTGATACTGGACTGGCTGTCCCAATATACATTTTTATTTTTGGAAAAGAAGATCCCTAGACAGACATTTGCAATGCCTGAAGGAGCAGCCGAGCAGAGTACTCTGAGACAGACAGTCAGTAGTGTGAAGAGGAACAGGCGACAGGAGTGCCCTTAAACAGGCAGTCTGCAGCACCTGGAGGAGCAAGCAAGAGGAGGACCACAAGACAGACATCCAGCAGCACCCAGAGAAGCATTTGATTGGAGAACCCAAGATAAGCAATTAGCAGCACCTAGGGAAGAAGGTGAATGGGAGACCATGAGGTAGGCAATCAGCAGCTCTTAGCAGAGCAAATGAGTGAGCATCCTGAGCCAGAGAGAGGATGGCTTTCCTCTTGAACTTTGTTTACGAAGGACCTCCAGGTCCCTATCTGGAAAGCAGGCTGCCAGTTTTCCTTTCTGTAACATTTCAGTCTCCTAACAGGATGGTGTGCAAAGCAGTTCCTGGCTTGCAGTATGTGAAGTTGGTTTCAGCTGGGCTTTAAATATGGCACTCACGGTTTGAACGTACAGAGGTCCTGTCAGTGGTGACAGTTTCACCTTTCCTGCTGCATGATTACATGAGAAGAATGCCAAAGAAGCTGGTTGCATTGCTAATGTCTTGAGGAGCAAAAGATAATGCAAGAAAACCTGCTGTGAGCCATAACAGAACACCTGCCATGAAACTCTCCAAAAATAACTCTTTGCCTCAAGACGAGAAATCCAGCCCATGGAATCAGTTTGGGTAACAATAAGAAGTTTTAAAGGAAAGGTATCACTTGCAGGAGTAGTTTTTTAAAAATTCTTCTTTGAAATGTGTGTTGCTGGATAGGCCAGTATTTATTGTTCATCTCTATTTGCCAGAAGGCAGTTAAAAGTCAACCACATGGCCGTAGATCTGGAGTCACATTGGGTCAGACCATGTAAGGATGGCAGATTTCCGTCCCTAAATAGATCTGCGAACCAGTGGGTTTTTACAACTACCAACAATGGTTACATGACCATCATTTGGCCAGCTTTTTATTCCAGATTTTTACTGAATTTAAATTCAATTGTACAAAGACTGTACAGTTTAATAAAAATTCATATTTTATATTGAGTCCAAATTTCATCATCTCACACTGTGAGATTCAAATCCATAACATTAGCCTGGGGTCTGGATTACTAGTCTAGTGACATTCACATTGCACCAACACCTCTCCTCGAAGGCATCCTAACAATAGTTATGTGTAGGACAGTGTATACAGGAACAGAGAAAAGTGCCAGGTAAACATGCTACCACAATAATAATGAATTATCTTATTCTACATGTAAGTTGGATGAGTCAGATTGGTAAAGGTAGCCTAGAAAATGAGTTCAAAGGTTGTATTTGAGTCAATTTCTTCGAGCAGCACATTCTAGAACCAACCAGGGAGCAATGAAATGAGATTAATCAATAACCTAATGGTAAAGGAGTCTCTAATAAAAAAATAAATCTCTTGGTGGCAATGATCATAATATGACAGTACTTTACATTCACTTGAAAGGGAACAAAATGTAGACAGACATTTTAAACCTAAATAAAGGCAGAGCTAGCTAAAATGGAAAATTAGATTAAAAGGTAGAACAGTAACAATGTATTGGCAAACTTTTAAGAAGCTATTTAATGACGCTTAGCAAAGATTTATTCCAATGAGAAAGAAAGATTCTTGGAGAAGGATGCACCTTCTAAACCCCTACTGCTAAATCCCAGTGGACTCAGATACATCCTAGTCTTTAAGTGGCTCAATAATAAGTCTAATTAGCCACCAGACTAGTTCCCCATATCAGTCTATTCCTGCTGCTGACTAAATGAGTATCAGTTTTTTCGCTGGCAGAAATCTGCCATGCAGCCTAACCTACAATTTTGCATGCCCACTCACTATTTTCCCCACTCTGGCAGGTTCTATAAAATCTCAGCCTAGGAAACTAAAGACACTGTATCAGTGAAGATTGCCTTGGCCAATTAGTAAGATCAGAACTGGAAAATGCAGATATTTAAGTATACAGGATATTGGTTACGCCACTCTTGGAATACTGCGTGCAGTTCTCGTCTCCCTGCTATAGGAAGGATGTTATGAAACTTGAAAGGGTTCAGGAAAGATTTATAAGGATGTTGCCAGGGTTGGAGGGTTTGAGCTATAGGGAGAGGCTGAATAGACAGGGGCAATTTTCCTTGGAGAGTCAGAGGGTGATGGGTGACCTTATAGAAGTTTATAAAATCATGAGGGGCATGGATAGGATGAATAGACAGGATCTTTTCCCTGAGGTGAGGGGAGTCCAAAACAAGACAGGATAGGCTTAAGATGAGAGGGGAAACGTTTAAAAGGGACCTAAGGGGCAACATTTTCATGCAGAGGGTGGTGCATGTATGGAATGAGCTGCCAGAGGAAGTGGTGGAGGCTGGTACAATTATAACATTTAAAAGGCATCTGGATGGGTATATGAGTAGGAAGGGTTTAGAGGGATAATGGGCCAAACACTAGCAAATGAGACTACATTAAGATATCTGGTCAGCATGGACAAGTTGGACCTAAGGGTCTGTTTCCATGCTGTACAGCTTTATAACTCTATAATTGGGGCCAACATGATCTTGAAGTGTCAACCATTGATTCATTTTCATTTTGTTATGGAGTTGTGAGTACCAGGGAAGTTTAACGGAACAAGAAAGTATTGCAAATTCCATCTTGAAACGACAGAGTCCTTTTAATACAATTCACAAATAATTCAACTGAAGATTAAACTAAAAGCTACTGTTCTCTTTCAAGATTTATTGTTAACATAAGATACTTGTGGAGAGACTATACAATTTCAACATAGCTATTCAGAGTTCATTATTTCTTAAAAACACTAAACATTGACTGATTAAATGCTACCAAACTGAAGCTAGGTTCCCTTATGACTTTACATATAGACCATAATTTTAGTAATCATTAAGATCTTAGTAAGTAAAGTTGCCATAGTCTGAGAGGGCCACAGGGCTGCACTCTCATTAAAAAGAGATGACAGGTTATGGATTTAACCATCACACATCAGGCAAGGGGCAAGGTTGAGAAAGTGGGACCTTCACGGTGTTTTCAGCTGGCATGAGAATTGAACCTGTGCTGTTGGCATTACTCTGCTTCCCAACCAGCAAACTAAGGTAATTGACCCCTAATTAAGATTTTAATAGGTTAAAGAAAATAAATATTTTTGACACAATATAATAATGAAAGAGATTTTAGAAAGAGTAGTCCTTAAATAAATTTGTGGAAATACTATCTAGATGTCATATAATTGTGATTAAAATAACGAAAGGGTGGTGTCACAGCAAACTGCACTGTGTAAAGTATGACTTAGATCGACAATTGGTAGTGTCCACACAAGGTGTTGCTAATCTCTGTAAGGGTCAAACCATAAGGGGGAGGTATCGAGTTGAGGTTTAATGCTTGCAAGGAGAGAAGGTGGTGAAAATAAATCAGACAGCAAGTGATCTTTGGCAGATACATTATGACAAGCTATTTGGCAAATGCATTATAATGGCCTGCCTGATCCCTTTGATTAAAACATGAAAGAGCATAAACTAGAAACAAAAACAATTGGAAAAAGAAAACAAAATTTGAAAAAATAGTTAATACTTAAACGGTACCAATAAAATGCAATGATTAATGGATTCCAAACACAAATGACCAGTTTTATATATCATATATGAACTAAATTAAGTATGAATTATACAATAACGCAATATGTAACCCCCACCCAAAACCAAAACAAAAGAAATGCATTGATGCATGCTGTTTGGAGCTGTCTAATGAGAAATGTCAGGTGAAATCCCTCTAATCAATGGACTTTCAGTCCCTTAGGATGCAGTGTGAATTGAATTGATCCCTTCAAGAGAACTGCAGTCAAAGGCTGAATATAATATATTGCAAGAAATGCTCTGGAGGATTCTTGGCCAAGTGCAACACACCTGCCTGACAAAAAAAAAAGATTCAATCAGCTCTTATTCCAACATAAGATGTCGGAGTCTTGCAGCTCTTCAGCAGAGTGCAACAGCTTCAATTAGGGAGTGCAAATTAATTTTTATCACTTTTAAATTAGTTTTTTTTTCAGTTTTAAATTGCTCTGCATCAAATTAAAGCATCTGGCACCAGATCTATCACAGTTTAATTTCAGAACCCATAAAGGTGATGTTCAACGACAGTATACAGCAGCATTCATAAGTAAGATTTTTTCAATGAATGGCAAATAACTCAACCTCACCTGAATTGCAAGCAACCTGTGCATTTCAGACAAACACATTATGTCCCAACACACACATTTTCTCTTGACTGCAAAGAGGAATTTTCCTTTATATTCATCAAATAATTATTTCAGCATTTTACTTTGCATTGTTCATCAATTATGCATTTCATAGGATAACAGAATTGTTTTAAATGAAAGACAATCAAAAGGCAATATTTCATAACAACCCTGTAAGAAGATGACTTGGTTGAAAATTCTGGATTCAGTTTTTACTCCTGAGGAATAATCCTTTGCTGGGCATCTTCTGGCCCTGACTTTTCAAGACAGATTTACACTAGTAGGTAAGCTATCATCATACCCTCAATGACACTTTACATTAAAATAGCAATGTTGGCATTGATTATATAATCAGATCCAAATTTACACATACATAATGCTATACCTGTTTGGTCAGTGCCTTGTAGCCTGCAATTTCATATTGTAGTCAGCCAGATTAGGGAGACAAAGGCATGAGTAACCCACCGTCTCCATGTTAATTAGCCCTTTACCTGCTTGGTAACAGATGGTGCAAGTTAAAATAGACCCCTTTGAGTAAACTATGAATATAAATTGTACAACAGTCTTAGTGACTGCTTTGAGATCTCTATTATTTTCACAGAGATAATGCTTTGGGATTCAGAAAGTGAGGTGATAAAAAACTGTCCCACTGCTGAATAAACAAACAGGTAAGGCTCTACAATACTGCTGTACAACACTCAATCCACCAACATAATCAGATATTTTGACAATCTCCACAAGAAAGATTGAAATTACAATGTATATACAGATATTATTTTTTTAGAATCAGTTCAGTCTCATAATAAGAAAGAAAGTCATCACTTTGCTTCTTCATCTATTTGTTTGTGTTAACATTTAAATATGATGGTATATGTTTACCATCAACCTCGCTGGCACTTTGTCCTGCTGATTGCCAAACAAGTGAAATTGTATTAACAAGGGAAGATGATGGGAGTGTGGTAATGGCACTGGATTTATATATCTAGAGGCCCAGACTATTTTGCTGGGAACAAGGGTCCAAATCCCACCATAGCACCTGGTGGAATTTAAATTCAATTAATTAACAAATCTAAAATAGAAAGCTAGTCAATTGTCATAAAAACTCAAAAACTGAAAGAACTGCAGATGCTGTAAATCAGAAACAAAAACAGAATTTGCTGGAAAAGCTCAGCAGGTCTGGCAGCATCTGTGAAGAGAAATCAGAGTTAATGTTTCAGGTCCAGTGACCCTTCCTCAGAACTATTCACCTGACCCTTCCTCAGAACTATTCACCGGACTGAAATGTTAACTCTGATTTCTCTTCATAGGTGCTGCCAGACCTGCCGAGCTTTTCCAATAAATTCTATTTACGTGTCATAAAAACTCATCTGGTTTACTAATATGCTTTTGGGAAGGAAATCTGTCATTCTTACCTTGTCTGGCCTATGTGTGTCTCCAGACCCACAACACTGTGGTTGACTCTTAACTGAACTCTGAAGCTACCTAACAGCAACTCAGTTCAAGGACAATTTGGGATGGATAACAAATGCCTGTGACATCCACATCCTATGAAAACCTTTTAAAAAAAATGACTTGTGTGCTGTTTCAGTGCAGTGCTTGCTGCTGCTTGCAGTATGTTGAAATATTTGTATATCTTTGCTTCGAAAAAAAGACCAGTTGCAAAGTTAGATTTATTTCTAAAAATATTACTCGTTCACTTAAAATTTTCAATATGTATATATTATTGTAAAGTCATAGGGAGATGTTCATCCTTAAAAGGGTTTATCTCTTCTGCTAAATACTTCAATGCTAAATCATTCCGTCTCAGAAGATCAACTTGTTTTAATGAGAGATGCATGATGTGAGTCAAAGGAGGGTGGATGCATTCATGTAAAATGTCACTTGATTTACCATAAAATTATATTCCAAGGATTGTGAACTAGATCAAGTAGTTACCATTATAAATCATTCTCTGTCTTTAAAAGCTTTCTGTACATGTAAAGTACATTAAATAAAACTTATTAACTCTCTTTCTCCCAATTATCATCTGCAACAAATCTTGCTTCACAGATTGGACGCATACAGTGAAACTACAAATCTTAATTAATGTCCCAACACTGCTGAAAACTCATTACTGTAAATTCTAACACCTAAAACAACTAATTATTAGTTCTGGCATTTACATTCTTTTCACTCTTTCAAAGCTCTTATTTTGGTTACAGGATATTTGACAACTAAACTCTAATCATCCTGCTGTACCATGCTTTTTACAAAAATTGTAAGGTTAAGTGACAGTTCTCCTTTTCGAAGGCAACTTACTATTGTTGGGGTTGTCGCCAATGATGTGGTGTCGGCCACTCCAGTACCACAGCAGAAGTGTAGCATCACGAGAACCAGATACAATATAACAATCTCCACCAATATAGGACTCTGACCTGGCCAAGCATGTGACCACATCCCAGTGTCCAAACACGATCTGTGTCAATTTCCCTGAAAAAATTTACAAAGTCAGGTTTTAATTGAACTGTAGCATTATAAAATGGATGATATGGCTATATTATACAATGATTGGGCTCAATCTTTATAGATTTTTGTTTACAAACATGAAGAACAAAATCAAGTTTTTGATATAACAAGGTGTAGAGCTGGATGAACACAGCAGCATCATTGGAGCAGGAAGGCTGATGTTTCGGGCCTAGACCCTTCACTACTACCATCTCTGATACAAGTTTTTGATATGTTCTATTTGCAGCATTTCCATTAAAAAATTTAGGAAGCTTAGATACTATGCAGTAGTAATTTTTCAGTAAACCTCTGGAAACAATAAAATTGATGTAAATATTACAATAAATAACAACAAAAACAAGCCTTTCCTTATATCTGTGAATTAAAGAGGCACACGTATTCAGTGGCATTGTGCATTTGTGTACTAACAAGCAGCAAGCACCTCAAAGTGTACGAATGCAGTTTCAATCTCACATTCTTTTGACTTTTTGATTTCAGCTGCATTGCTGGAGGAAGGCACAAAATGCAAATTAGATTGGATAAGATTGCATACACAACACAGAAACAGATCATTCAACCCATCTAGTTCATACTAGCAACTATGCTTCTCTACAGCCTGTTCCCACCTTTATTATCAAATTTCATCAGCTTAACTCTTTATTCTTTTCTCACTCAAATGGATAACCAGCTTTTTCTTAAACGCATCCATTTGATTTGCCTCTACCACTCTCTGACTACTAAGTTCTACATTCTCACCAATATGGCTAAAGGAGTTTCTTCTGAAATCCTCATTTGATTGAACTGTCTTATATTGATGGTGAAATAACTCCACAAAGGTTGATATCCTGTCACCAAGTCACACTTTATTTACATGTGGAAAATCCTTGACCTTGATCCAGCTCTCTCAGAGCCAGGTCTCAAAGTGCACAAGATATCTGACACTCCTGTTTATATCTGTTAGCCAGGATGCCCTGATTGGACCAGATTAACAGCCCCAATTAGGGGACTCATATTCTATGAGGCCCACCTGGCTGACCTCATTACAATTACTACAGATGGTCTCTGGGTTTGCTCTTCCCACAAGAAACACTGTGACATACTCTAATAAACATACTCCAATACTTCCCTGCTTTCTATTAGATGACATGGCCAAATTTTCTCTAAGATTCTTGCTGCCCTACTCATGCACATGCATCTTCCTCTAGTTTCTCTGCTGTCCCCATTCATTGATCTAATCTTTTCAAGAGACACTTCTGCTGTCTTGACCCTACCCTGACTAAAGTGATGCCTATCTCACTTCCCTTCTTGATTATGTGCGTTAATACTGTTAACAGTTCTCTCAACTTAGATACTATCCACCCTTGTTCAAATCTGCTGTCATCACCCAAAACCAAGCTATTTCCTCTCAGTCCATGTCAATTTCCTTTCCTTTTCTCATCAACGTCTTTGAATTCTTGTTGCCTCACCCACCTATGTCCATCTTTCCTTAAACATTATGTTTGAATCACGACAACTAAGTCTCCACTGCTGCCATGGTACTTATTAAAAGTATCAAGCAGCTTTTATCAAAGTTATAAATGACACCATATATAACTCTGACAAAGGTAAGCTCTTTGTTCTTTTTGATTGAATTATAATCTTTCACACAGCTGATCACACCTTCCTTGTCCAATACTTTATGAAAGGTCCGTAAATAATTTTTTGTTGCATAGCTTTGAAATAAAGAGGTCAACCTTAGCTGCATCTGCCTTATGATCAAATACACTGAAATTGAAATGGTTACAGTATACAAAATAATGTTTAAATAAATGGTAAAAGGCTGAATATGCTGATAAAACACAAATACTAGTCAGCATCTTTTGTTAAATTAATTAACTTTTCAATTAGAATTCATCAGAAATTATTAATTCACATTCTTTGCTAGAATTATTATTTTGAAACTTGTTTTTAATTTGCAGTGCAAATCTTTTCCACCTTCCTTTTGCAACTTGTATAAAAATTATTATTTTAATTGAAATCTAGCAGGGACTAAAGCTAACTTTAAAAATGGCTACATTAAGATTATTAGCATATTTTGGTGTCAAAATTTAGATTTGAATAACATGCCTTCTGGATAGTACAAGTATTGGATTGGTATTCCCAGATTGCAAAGAAAGCTGATGTTTTTGCTATTTTTGTCAGGAAACCAGCTGACAGTCTAGAATTATAATACATAATGTTTCTAGAATGCGCTGCTATATTACAATGAAGAGATGGATGGGTCAACCTTACATCACAAACATGACTACACTGAAGATAATACTATTGGTTGTTCTGATTTTAAAAACTACTATATTTAATTTTGACAGTGAATTTCTAGAAGCCAGTTGGCACTGTCAAATACCTGTTTCTGTTGAGTACACTCGAAAACTCTTATCCCAGAATCCACAAACCAGGATGTAACGATTATCTGCTGTCACAACAAAGCAGTGTGCATTAATCTGAATGCTCTGATCCACAAGGTCTGTGATCTGCCTCTTGTTCACACCAGCATTATTGGCTGTGAAGAGAAACAAAGAGAAACAATTTCAAGTTCATGTTGAGCTCAAATTTAAAAAGGGTGCAATATCTCCTGGTCATTGCATCTCAGCAAACAAATAATTTGTATCTGAATTATCTGTTTATCTGGGCAAAAGTGCTATAAATATGATTTTCAAACTTGCAGCTATAAATGTCTTTTTATTTGTAATGTTTACAAGTATTTGCTCCTTCAGTAATTCAGACTGTCTTTGTGTCTTTCATTTTGCACTTAATTCCCACTGAGGATTTTTAAAAATCTCATTCAAAGAGGTTTCAAATTCAGCAAACTGAAATACTCATGACAGAAGAAAAACAATTTGACATGCAAGGCCAAACTTCTCACTGTGCCTTAAATGAAAATACAGTAACCGTAGTAGCCCATATCTACAAGACAGTCTGATTTAGTAACCTTTGAGTAGAACAATCATTCTGGAAGCTAAAGAAAACACGACTTTCTACTGAGAAAGGCCTTGGAGTGACAGAAGCAGAGACACAAATAAAAAATAAAACCCACTAACTATGTGTCATGGACTGAGGAACAGCGTAATATTAGGAAATCTCCAGATTCCTAGCTATACTATGATTGGGGTAATAAACCACCTCTATAGAGTCTTTGGAGTCAGCAATATTAATGCTAAAATTTAGAATGAAACTTTTTTTTGTAAATTAATAGGTAAGATTTAGTTAGGAAACAGTGAGTTGGACATCTGTCACTATGATCTGATGGCAATCCAGTGGGGCGGATCAATTACTTTTTAGGGAACTCCTTGGATTGTCATTCTGTTGATAACAGTAGAATTAATATTGGTTAGACAGTACAATAATTGGATATATATTGTCAGAATACTGTCCAAGAGTCATAGATAAAATTTAAGTCCAATAATTTTATACATTGAAAGTTTACTTTATAAATAGTTTCATCTCATAATCAAAAATGTAACACACCTGAATGCTTACTTACCCCAAACTGGAAAAACATTCTTTGCTCTTTCACAGTCAAAAAGAGATCTATGAATATCAATATACCTGAAAACTGCAGTGTCTTACTTTGTGTCCTGTTTGATCCAAGCCTATCTCTCTTCTGAAATTACAACATTGGAACGAAATATAATGCAGAAAAGGATTTTATTTTAGTAATCTAACAGTTCAGAGAAACTTTGCAAGTAATTTGCAAGAAACTTTGCAAGTAGGGGCGGCACAGTGGCTCAGTGGTTAGCACTGCTGCTTCACAGTACCAGTGACGCGGGTTTGATCCAAGATGGTATTGAACTTCTTGAAATGTTTTGCAGCTGCATCCATCCAGGAACTTGGAAAGTTATTTGTTCACCTAATTTAAAATCAATCAGATCACATACCTCAAAGGCACTTTATTATGGGATTTACAGCTCCATTACAGGTTAGGTAAATAGTAAAAAAATTATATAATAATTTGTAGGATTTATGCTACTACCAACCATTACAAAATGGTAATAAGATGCACTGTGCACTGTTTAACTTAAAGCATAATTACAGTTTTATGATAATATTAGATATTTATTTCCAAATTGACTTTATTACCATCAGTAATATTTTGTACCATGGAATGTAACCAATTTTATTTTGAAAATTGCAGGCTTCTAACTAAAGTACTTCAGAGAAATTTATGGTCGTCTGTTATTTTCCGTTATTCTGGTCACTGGAGATGATATGGAAGTTGTGAGATGCATGTCAAGATTCTGCTAAAATCCTGACAGACATACATGTGTTGAAGTTGCCAGAGAAGTTTAATCTTATGTGTTTATTTCCTCTGTCCACAATGTCTCTGACACTAAGCTCAATGCCAGAGACTTTGGCCAAATACACAGGACTTACTTGCACACACACCTGAGAAATGTTACTGTGATTAATACATGGTTTAAACTCAGTTACAGAACTGGTTTGAAGGTAGGAGACAGAATGTGGTGGTGGAGGGTCGCTTTTCAGACTGGAGACCTGTGACCAGTGGTGTGCCACAAGGATTGCTACTGGTTCCACTGTTTTTGTCACTTATATAAATGATTTGGATGTGAATATAGGAGGTATAGTTAGTAAGTTTGCAGATGACACCAAAATTGGTGGGGTAGTGTACAGGAAAGGAGGTTACCTCAGAGTACAATGGGACCTTGTTCAGGTGGGCCAATAGGCCAAGGAGTGGCATTTTGGAGTTTAATTTAGATAAATGTGAGGTGCTGCATTTTGGAAAGGCAAATCAGGGCAGGACTTATACACTTAATGGTAAGGTCCTGGAGTGTATTGCTGAACAAAGGGACCTTGCAGTGCAGATTCATATTACCTTGACAGTGGAATCCCAGGTAGAGAGAATAGTGAAGAAGGCATTTGGTATGCCTTTAGTGGTCAGTGCATTGAGTATAGGAGTTGGAAGGTCATGTTGTGGCTGTATTGATTAGGCCACTTTTGGAATATTGCGCGCATTTCTCATCTCCCTGCTATAGGAAGGATGTTGTGAAACTTGAAAGAGTTCAAAAAAGATTTTTAAGGATGTTGCCAGGGTTTGAGGGTTGTGCTATAGGGAGAGGCTGAATAGGCTGGGGCTATTTTTCCTGGAGCATTGGAGGCTGAGGGTGACCTTTATACAGGTTTGTAAAATCATGAGGGGGATGGATAGGGTGAATGGACAAGGTCTTTTCCCTGGGGTGGGGGAGTCCAAAACTACAGGGTGATGGTTTAAGGTGAGAGGGGAAAAATTTAAAAGCTAAGAGGTAACTTTTTCACGTAGAGAACAGTGCGTATATGGAATGAGCTGCTGGAGGAAGTGCGGAGGCTGGTACAATTACAACATTTAAAAGGCATCTGGATGAGTCTATGAATAGGAAGGGTTTAGAGGGATATGGGCCAAATACAGGCAAATGGCAGATTAATTTAGGACACCTGTCTAAATTAAGTTGGACTGAAGGATCTGTTTCCATGCTGTATAGCTCTATGACTCTATGACAGTGAATAGCCAAGGTACAGATTGATTAGCCACAACTGACCTGTCCATCACCTACTTATCATCTCCCAATCTGATTATTCACACCTGACCATCCAACCACTCTATCCCATTCACTCGCAACTCACTTCACCAACCTCATCTATTCACTCATCCACTAAAATATTTGGACCTCTTTATCTGAATCTGGAAGCTACTATCATGAAAGGGTGTCATGTCATCTCTTCGTCCATCTTTTATTAAGCCTGATGAGCTACTCCATGGATTGCAATTGTGAAATAGCATTTAGAAAATAAAACATTAAACTCTGATGGGACACATGTAGATCAAATATTGTATCAAGATTACAATTGTTAAGTTAGGCAATTTTACTGTTATCTAAAACTGTATGTCTGAATAAATATTTTTGTTAATTTTAACTAAAAACTAGTAATAGTTTTATGGATTTTTTTTCTATTGAACCACTAAAATCAATCTTTAACTTCCTATGAACATGCTTTATTATTAAAACTTTTTGAAGGTTGATGTTAAAAGATTGTGAAAATTATCGTGTTTGGATTCTGAACTTTCTTTTGAAGGGGGTCACTAAAAATATTTGGGACTATTTTTAATTACTTTTTTTTTAAGAAATCATGTGGTTTAAACTAACAAAACAGACCAACTGTGGAGTTGCTAGATATGCTGTAAGTAACATGTCTTCAGTTAACTGTTTGGATTTACCGAAAATCACCTGCCTTGGGTTTAAGGTTTTGTTTTTGATAGTGTTTAGAGTTCAGCTCGGGTACAGTTTTCTGGAAGAGACAGGCTATTCAGCTCATCCTCTGCTTTTCTGTTAAAATCGTTTTTGAGGGTCCATTGTAGTAACTAAAATCCTGATCCAGCTGTTCCCCTGAAATAACCACTAAAGGAGTTATTCTCGATGACACTTCATGACCTCTTGAACAAAGTGCATTTGAAGACCCCAGTGACAACAGCCTATGTTTAGTGACCTCTCTCTATGTGTGCCACAAGGTTGCCTGAAAGCCATTTTCACCATTTCATATATCATCCTTTTTCTCGTTCAAGAGTTGAAAATTATTGGCCAAAGTGTTTTTGTCTTAAAGCTAATTTTTGCAGAGCATTTTCTTTGTCTTACCTGGTGCATATGTGCAGTGCTGTTTAGAAGACTAAATATTTATTCTTTGATGTTTCAAAGTGTGAATAAATCAGTTTTACAGCTTTATTGAATAAGTCCTGCTTTTATAACAAATTACTAATTTTGTTGTTTATTAGGAAAATCTTTTTATTCTACATCTAATTTAGATGCAATATGTAACTGGCTGTCTTGGTAACTGTGTAAACATTTAAAGTCATTCTGTAACGAGAGGAGTAGTGTGACTACAGAAAGGGACAGTACACTCCTCCATCCTCGGTCATAACAAACCTTATTCTGTTAAAAGACTGTAGCAAGAAGCATCATTAATAAATAGTTTTTAAAGTTCAGGTATTGCAGCTCAATTTTGTCAAGAGGAATCAAAACTGACATTAAAAAGTGTCTATAGATATGTAAAAATAAAACACTGTTGAAGACAAATGTGGCTCCATAAATGTATCAGGGCAAGAAGAATTTGTAGTAGGCAATAGAGAAATGGCAAAGAAACTAAATGATTATATTGTGTCTGTCTTCACTGAGGAAAATATAAGAAATCTCCCTGAATTAGAGATCCAAGGGACTAAGAAAATGAGGAATTGAAGGCAATTAGTATTAGTAAGAAGGTTGTGTTGGAGAAATTAATGAGGCTGAAGTAGGTGGTTATAAAGATAGTTGATGGGTTGATGATTATTCTCAAATAGTTTATGGACGCTGGAATGGTTCCTGCAGATCAGAAGGTAGCAAATATTATTCAAGAAGGGTATTCAAGAAGGGAGGGAGATAGAAAATGGGGAACTACAGACGTGTAAGTGTTAGATTAGCAGCAGGAAAACTATTAGAATTTATCATAAAGGATGTGATAAATGGGCATTTGGATAATGATGACAGAATTAGGCATAGTCGGCATGGATTTGTGAATGGGAAATTGTGTTTGGTGAACCAGTGGAGTGTTTTTTTGTGGATCTTACTAATAGAATTGATAAAAGAGAAGTTGGTGGACATTTTATTCTTGGATTTTCAGGAGATTTTTGATTGAGTCCGCCACAGGAGGTTGATTAGCAAAATTAAAGCACCTGGGATAGGGGGTAATATACTGGCTAGCAATAAACTGGTAAGAATAGGCTCACAGACAGAAAGTAGGAAGTAGGAATAAATGGCTGAATATCATAATGGGTGACGATGACTAGTGGAGTTTCACAGGGTTCAGTACTTGGGTCCCAGCTGTTCATGACATGTATTACTTATCTGGATATGGAGATCAAGTGTAATATTTCCAATTTTGCAGATGACACAAAGTTAGGTGGGAACATCTGCCTTGAAGAAGATGGAAAATGGCTTTAAGAACATTTGGACAGATCTATGAGTAAGTAAGAACATGACAGAAGGAATATAATGTGAGAAAAATGTGAGGTTATCCACTTTAGAAGGATGAACATTTGCAGAGAATATTTCTTAAATGGGAAGAGATTAGAATATGCAGACATACAAAGGGACCTGGTTGTTGTTATTATCTAGTACAGTCTGGCAAGTTGCCTGACAGCAAATGGAATGAGGGAACAGGCGACGGTCATATGTTAATTATGGGATAATAGGTTAGAACTGGGTGCATATGGGGAACAAGTAATCAGTGTTGGAGTTTTGTAATGTGTGAGTTTGAATAAAGCTCCGACTAGAACAGTACATGTCCGAATTCCGTTTAACCAATCTTTATTCATCTGATATCTATCATTGGTAGCAAAGGATGGTTAGCTGTGTGTAACTCAAAGATTGAAACGAAGCATTATTGTGACCAAACAGTAATTTAGACAGAATTTTATACATTGGTACTGAAGAGAGAGATGGTTTAATCAGAGTATGATTTTCCACCCCTGCTCTCTGAATGCAAACCTGAAGATCAGTAGAAGAATAATGAAACCATTTAGACCACATCACTTCCTTACTGAAGAAGAAACAAGGTATGGCCTTGGCTCTTTTGCTACCATACAACAGCAGGAAAAGAAGCAAAGCTTTTGCAGAATTGGACACTGATAATTTGAACACACATGAAGATTTGGACAAATTATTAACGATGACGGATAAAATTTGTTATGGGCTTCCAAAAGGCTTTTGATAAACTTCCACGTAACAGACTGTTAACTAAGCCCCATGAAACTGAGGGTAAATTACTGACATGGTTGGGAAATCAGTTTAGTGGTAGGTGACAGAAAGTAGTGATAATGGGTAGGTATTCAAATTGGCAGCATGTGACCAGTGGTGTCCCACAGGATCCGTGTTAGGGCTTCAGTTCTTCACATTATTTATTAATGACTTTGATAATGGCATAGAAAGTCATATAATCAAATTTGCCAAAGACAGAAAGGTAGGTGACATTGTAGACAATGTAGTTGACTGCACAAAAGTACAAAGGGATATTGATAGATTAAGTGAATGGGAAAAAACTGTGGCTGATGGAGTTCAATGTATGCAAATATGAGGTTATCCATCTTGGAGCAAAAGAGGACAGATCACAGTACTCTCTAATTGGTGTGAAGTTCAATAGAGTGGATATCCAAAGAGACTTAGGGATTCAGATGCATAGATTTTTAAAATATCACAAACAGTTGCAGAAAAAAATGGAGAAAGCTAATGAAATGCTGGCCTTCATATCTAGGGGACTGGAGTACAAGGATGCAGAAGTTATGCTGCTGTTACACAAAACCCTGGTTAGACCCCAGACCCCACTTGGAGTACTGAGAGCAGATATGGGCACCACACCTTAGCAAGAATATATTGGCATGGGAGGGAGTACAAAACGAATGATACCTGTACTTCAGGGGTTGGGGGAATAGCTTATACAAGTTAGGCCTCTTTTCTTTAAAATTTAGAAGGTTAAGGGGTGATCTGATCAAAGTCTTCAAGATTTTGTTAGGAAAAAACAGGGTAGATAAAAACAAACCATTTCTACTGGTTAGGTATTCCACAATTAGGGAGCATAGTTTGAGAATTAGGGCCAGACCATTCAGGAGTGATGTTAGAAACACTTCTAAACCCACAGGGTGGTAGAAGTTTGGAATGCTCTTCTATAAACGGCAGTGAATGCAAGATCAGTTGTTAATTGTAGATCTGAGATAGATAGAATTTTCATAAATAAAGGTAGTAAGAAATATGGGCCAAAGTCAGGCATATGGAGTTAGGCCACAGATCACCCATGATCTCATTGAATGGTGGTACAGGTTTGAGGGACTGAATGGCCTACTCCTATTCCTACGATCCTAAGATGACTTATTAACTGCTGCTTATAAGGCATGGTCAGATATTGACAAAACCAGAAACAGTGAAGACAATTACACATTTAGTACATAATGGAATTCAGGAGATTATATATAAAATTGCAGAGATTTTATTTGGAAATTGCCCAATCTGTGTTGGTACTTAAGTTATTAGACTGTGGCAATATATTGAGTTTAGACAGGAGCTAAATTTCCAGATAAACACAAACTGCTAGAACAAATGGCAGAAGCACTAAAAGAAAAATTCTTTGGAAACAATTCAATTACAGCAACGTTCATGGTACAAATGGGACAAATAGCTATAAGACAGAGAATGAAGGATACAGTGTTAAAGAGCTGGTGAGACCATCTAGTAACAGGACACAAAGTGGTAAATATGGCATTTTTCTTAATGAAAATATTGGAAAGAACTTCCAAAAAGGGAATCGGCAGAATACCCCTTGAGTGCTACATCAGTATTAATTATTGGATAATTTACATTAAGCAAAATGCATGAATGACAAAAGACTGAGGATCAAAATTTTTGAAACCAATGCTGGAGAACAGTGAAATCTCAAAACTGAAATGGGTGGATTGTGGCAGTCTGATTGCTTTTCAAAAAAAGGACCAAGCTCTAAGACGGTATCAGAAATGTTGGAACGTGAATGCTCGGAATTCTAATGTACACTGAAAATACAGGAACATGTTGTCATTCTGCACAATCTTGTAGTTCTGTTGTGTTTGCTTTTCATTACTGTTGTATATATGAATTTACTTTTAATAAAGAAAATAAGGAAATATGTTATCAGGTAGGGCTGTGCAGGAGGTTTTAGACCAATGGAACTAGGGAACAGGAGATGATTATATGTTAATTAAGTGATAATTTAGAAAGACCAGGTTGTATAAATGTGAATAAATGTGAAACAGGTATTCAAATTTTGGAGTTCTATGGTGTGCGAGTTGGAATAAAACTCCAACTAGAAAAATAAAGTTTATGCCAGGACTCTGTCTAATCAACTTTTAACCTCTGGTGTCAATTAGGCGTCGTCTTCAGTAAGTCACTAACATTCAGGTGCATCAGTCATTAGTGTGTTGAGGTATGTCTGCCTTTTGCCAGGATTTGAAACGTAGAAACAAGATATATGAGTCATGAAGTCCTGCTTCACTTGTATAGAATGTTGATTAAACTGCACCTGGTTCCCTTTGGATAGTTATTGTCAAAGAGGGAGTGCAATGAAGGTTCACTTGTTCCCACAATCAAAAGACTCTCCTATGAAGAGACATTGGGAAAACTGGGCCTGTATTCTCTAAACTTTTGAAGAATGAGAAGTGGTCTGATTGAAACCTGCATCAACCCTATCTATCCCTTTAAGTATTATATGAAGATGTTTCCCACAGGCCGGCATGGCGACTCGGAGGTTAGCACTTCTGCCTCACAGTGCCAGAAACCTGGGTTCGATCCCATCCTCGGGCGACTGTCTGTGTGGAGTGTGCACATTCTCCCTGTGCCTGCCTGGGTTTCAGCTGGGTGCTCTAGGTTCCTCCTACACTACAAAGACCTGCAGATTAGGTGTACTGGCCATGCTAAAGTGCCTAGGAATGTGCAAGCGAGGTGAATTAGCCATGGCAAATACAGGGTTACAGGATAGTGTAGGGGGCTGGATCCGCGTGGGATGTTTATTGGAGGCTCGGTATGGACTTGATGGGCTGAATGGCCTGCTTCCACACTGTACAGATTCTATGACTCCCCCAGTTGGGGAGTCTAAAACTAAAGGATGCAAATTCAAAATAAGGGAAAGCCATTTAGGTCTGAGATGAAGAGAAATGCTTTTACTTAGAGTATTGTGAATCTTTGGAATTTTTGACGTGTCAATGACATAAAGGGATACGGGAATAGTGTGAGGAAAAAGCCTTCAAGTGAATGATGTGCCATGATCACACTGAATTGTGGATCAGATTCAGTGTGCTGCATGGCTTACTCCTGCTCCTATTTTTCTAGAGTTTTAGATTTCTCACTCTCAAATGAGAACACCATAGATGGTGCAACATAGTTACCGATCAATGGATCCATTTCAATTGGCAAGTGATGTGCCTGTTCCAGAGAGTATCCTGGAGCTCCTCTAAGACCTGCAGAAAAATAATGAAAAGTGTCACAAATAACATAATTAATTAATGAACTTAGAACATGCAACCTTTTCAGGTCATGTTGCCTGCCTCCTCTCAGTGTACATTATTTTATATTACACCTCTATCAAGTGTACTGGGATATTTAACTACATTAAAACTACTACATAAATGTTAGATGTTGTAGCTAGATATACTGAATGAATTGATGGAATATGTATTTCAACTTAGCACAGTGTGTGTTTTTTGGCAGCTGAGAACGCAATTTTAGCTTATATATTTCAAGAGTTCTCAGTGCATCATAGTGATAAGTTCCTCAAATAGCCCACAGACATTTAAATCAAGACAAAATTGTACCAGCCTTTTACAATGTGGCTAAATGATTAGGTTCCAGACACGGGATGGATTTTCATCTCCGGTACCTGTTTGTAATTTGGCAATTGGATCACATGGCTGTATAGAAGCTGTCGGCCTTTCATTCTATTGAAATCAACTGAATTAAAAGCTGATCTTCCAGATTAACTTCCAGATAGCGTAGTTCAAGTCTTTCGAGTCTACCTCATTGTCCCTCATCAGTGCTGAAATATATGATTATGCTTATTGGATCAAAAACGTCATTAAAACCTTCCTCACTTTTCTTGGGCCACGGTGTTCAAAATGGAGCCAGAACTCTCACTTCTAATAAATACCTAACTTTGCTTGCATGCTTGGTCATTAGATGAAGATTGGACTGGTTCAGGTTATGTTGTGCAACAATGCTTAGGTCTATACCTGAAAAGTAATCATGTCTTCAAAAAGTGTCTGTGGAGCTACTAAAAGAGAGGCGAGGAGAACATTTGAAAAAGGACAAGGCAAAAAAGATGTTTAGAATTTTTAAAATAAATTTCATATGCTTACCATACTTCATAAAAGAATTTTATACCAAACAATTTCTCCATAAACCATTATTTATAGAAAAGTAGGAAAGCCTAGCAATTGGGAAAAGTTGTAAAACTAGTCGCTACATAATATACAAAGCAAACCTATTATTTATATTTCTTACTAAAACGCAAAAGTTTTTAAATGCAGATTATTAATATTTCTTTAACTTGCTTACCAAATATACAAATATTTTCAACTTAGTATACAGTAGTATTTTACAAATGAATAGATTTGAATCATCCATAAACGTAGGCTAAGTTTCTCACAACATCATTAATAAAAGCCATACTAAACATTTTTGAAGAATAACGACTCTGAAACATAGACTAACAGAAAAGTCACATCACCACTTGCAAAGTTCACAAGAAGAAACTCCTAATATTAAAAAAAAGTGGTGAACTATAGCTGCCTTTCAACAGCATGTATTCTACAAGAAGCTATTGCTTGAAAAGCCTGTAAAGATCAATAGCCAATTAAGATAAATAGTATATTTTGGAATGTTTAGCACCAAAAAGGGCAGGTTTTTTAAGGAACTTACTTAAACAATTTATTTCAGTATCTTCATTTATTTAAACAAATACCACCTTAGTTTAGAAATTAGAAAAATGGTGTATACTAATATTTGCTGTAATAGTTAGTACCAATAAATAAAAATATAAACTGCACTCTTTTGCAGGTTTTTGTGACCTGGAAAATGTTTATTTGAAGAGTGGTTAAGTTCGTAGATATTACTCATACAGCTGTTTTTTTAAATATTTAGAACATATATAAATATAAATAAAAGTAAATAAGTAAATATAATAAAACAGGTTGTCATAAAAAATTGTAATAATTTAAATGTAAGGCCACCAGAAAATTAAATGAAGATAGAGGTGTAAAATTATAACAATACATATTTAGTAATGCCACTCCAAAGCTTTACAGCAAAGATAATGGCCTGCAGTCCATTTTAATGCAAATGGTTGACAAAGTGCTCTAATATCTAATATTACTGCCATTGCCCTACTGCTTTCCATTGAAATTCTTGTTTCAGAGTTTTAATTTAGAAAACAGACAGCAACTGAGAAAAAAGGTGGATATGTCATTGCAATTTTAACAAAAATAATCTATTATCAGATCAAGTACTTTTAACAACAGTACATTCTACATATAAAGATTTAGAGGCACTAGTAATGTGGAAATATTTAATTTCAGTATGGATCAGTAATTTAAATCGCAGCCTATGCGAAAAAATGTATGTTCACTTTGTGTATAGAACCTCCAATTATCTACCATCTTTGTTTTTACACATTATTGTACTAAGCAGCAGGAATAGAATGACCACAAAATAAAAAAAAGTTTATGAATATTTATAAAGATTTAAAGGTAATGTTTTCACTTACCTACAGTGTTATGCCACCTATTCACTGCAAACAGCCTGCTGCAAGTCACAGTGACCACAGCAGGGGTGCTTAGATGAGGCAGTGTGTTGGCTGCCACATGGGTAACAGGGGAGTTGGATGGAAATTTTAGAACCATTATAACATCTTGCTGCATTTGATCCTTAAACATGAGTGGGCTCTGTGGAAGGAAACACTGTTGAGTAGAAACAAAGAGGAGAAAACAGAAGAGGTAGAAGGGAAAACACAATTAATGTGGAGGTCTGGAAAAACAGGGAAAATACAGTAGGCAAAGTATTAACATGAATTAGGAATTTATGCTTCTATTATGATAAAACAAACAGCACCCATATCTAAGAAATCTAGAACTTGGCCAGTGAACTGAACAATGGGATAGGTAACAAGAGGTTCAAGTGGAGCTGGAATCATCAGGTGTAAAGAAAAGGGGTTTCATGTACAGGAAATGTTCAGCACAAAAAACATATCTGTTCATTTTATGACTGAATAACAAACTAAAATAAAGTGGAAAGAACATCTGGCAAACATGACTGAGAATACTTCCAGTAAACCATCTGCAGTGAAGTTCTAAATAGTTTGGTACCCACTAAAATATTAAGAATCAACACATTATTATTTTCAGCAAATTTTAAATATTGCAATTGACTCATTCTGTTCAAATCGCATGAATAAAACATATAATTCAAATTGGTAACTCAGTGAAACGCCATGCAGCCAAAAAAACCTGCCATTTTTCCAGTTCAGTCCCATCATACAGTAATTTCAATAACAGCATGCTGGTAGGGCTCCATGTTAATCCAATATGTGCAAGTACCGCCCTCTATATTGGAATTCTGGAATGGTCCGTTGGAGCAGAATCTCTGCCTACACCAAACAAGGTAATTGGCTTCAGAGAGATCTGGGATTCCTACAGCAGAAGTCTGCATTTCCCCACAACTTTGGCAGGGTTATAGGTAAAAGTCTTAGGTGCACACACCAGAATGCATCTTCATAGATTTACCCTACTGGCTCTGTAATGTCTTTTAGAGAAGGAAATCTGCCATCTTACCTGGTCTGTCCTACATGGGCTTCAGATCCACAGCACAGCAATGTGGCTCACTCTCAACAGCCCTCTGGGCATCAGTGGATGGGCAATAAATGCTGGCCTCGCCATCAATACCACATGCATGAATGAATTAAAAAGATTTTTGGATCCCATAACGCTAAACTGTAACTTTTTTTGTTGAATAGGGTGCCTCTTACTTGAAACAAGTATGCTTCAGAAATTAAAGACTTTTTTAAAAGATATTTTTACTGGTCCTGTTCCCTTTCTCTCCTTTCACTTGACAAATATTGTTCCTTTTATCTCTAATGTTTCTCCAGACACTAACAACCACTTTAATTTTCTGTTGGCTCCAATCCCAACTATTATCATGTAAGTACATTAGGTATGAAATATTTTTAGCACTGAGATAAAGATAGACAGATTCAGTTTTTGGTTTGGTTATCTTTTAATGGTGATTGCAACAATGTCAGAATAATGAAAAATTACAGTTACCTTCTTCTAGTCCTATGGAAAAAGTTGGAGATCAAAATAATCTAGAACGGAATTACTCCTGTAAGTAGTCTTGTATCTGCAGCATGATAACTTTACTTTTTGAATCATCATTGCTAACAGGCAAATCTATATAACTGTGGTTTTTTAGAAGGTTGTGAGGACAAGCAGAGGACAGCTGTACCTGCTTGCACATTTCTAGATCCAGTATGTGTACACGAACTAACAGAAATCCCACCATATTCCAACCATCATATTATGGGAAGTTGGATGATGTCCTGTATTAAACTATTTGGAAAATCTAATTTCTGATCAGCAAACTTTTGATGAGATTATAATTGCTCCTCAAGCCACAGGTCACATTCCTGACTTACTTTCTCCAAGTGGAAGGTAATCTGTCAATACGTATGTTCAATGGTTGATTTTCAGTCCCAGGTAAGAACATAGCCTTAATGATGAACTGACCCATCCAACAATAATGGCAAGGAGACACAGCACATTTTAAAACACAATATCTGCCAAGAGGCTGGAAGTGGCCACTCAGTAGCTGAAGTTGGGTGGTTATCAGGAATAAAACGGATCCCCACAACAAGTCTGCAGAGGGAATTCTGATGGCAATCACAGCCAGGGGGGTGCCACGGAACCCCAATGCAGGAAAGATCCAATGTTTCTTTGTGAGGCTCAGAGGAAGCATTCCTGTTCTTATTAATCCACAACCAAATGCCTTTTTTTCAAAAAAATTATATTTCTGGACTTCTTATGGCCTTAGATTCACTTTCTGATGGTTTTCATCTGGCAGGAAAATACCATGGTTCCGATGCTAAGGGTCTATGTTAACATTGCTGTCGGAACTAGATGGCATTGCTGAGCCTGATCGTTTCTTTAAAGAAGGATCTCACTGGCTTCAGGTGCAATTTCAAAATGTAGTTAGTAAAACGGGGGAGGTAAGCTGCTAGGCCCTAATTATTTTTCTTGTCTTTGCCATCTTCCTCCAGCATTTGGCCCCTCTATTGTTTGCCTGCAACCTCACACACGTGATCAGTATATTCAGCACAGTGTTTTCATCCACTGCATGTCTCAGTAATTCCCATACCAACTGTACTTTCCCCCTGCCTGTTCATCCATTGTCACAGAGTAGACCATCAGTTTCAATCTTGCACTAACTAGTTACCATTCTCAATCATACCTGATGGTAACTCACACTCTATCTTGCTGAGGCAGCAAAGCCGTGAGAAAAGACATGCTTACAGTTCAGTGGCTGCTTGTGCTAACAAAGAAAAATACAGGCCTGGGAATAATTAGTTAAAAGGAATGAATAGAAAAGTATTTGTAGTGCACTGAGCTTACAAATATGCACTCTTGTCCAATTGTACTCCGAGTCCCAATTTAGAATATCTACTCCAGTTTTATTTGCTTAAGATATTCAAGCCTATGAAGAATTCAGTCCTGTTCATAATATGGGGAGGGTTGAGTAAACTTAATGCAGTTTTATTTGCAATAATGAATTTGTAACAAAATCAAATATAATTATTCAGTTTTTTTTCCACTTGTAGCATTGTGCTTTCCTCATCTGCAGCCTGGCACTTTTTTTTACACCAGGTGAAGTTCACATAAAGCAGATTCCAAACACATTATTTCTCACCAGGTGCATGGCAGAGCTTCGAGGTGGATGTGGCTCAATAAGCAACTGAGATGGCATTTGTCCAAGGCTCTGTATGTGCGCTTCCATGGCCTGAGGGAGAAAAGAAAGATTGTCATGATCAATATGCATCAAAGTGATGGGTCAATGTTCTGTTTGACAATGCAAGCACATTTGAGCTCAGGCAAGACTTTTGGAAATTTTCAGCAAATGTGCTTCTTTTGCAGTCTGTAAAATTGCACTAAATGTTAGTTGCAGTCAATACATTTTTTCTGAGACTAATTATTCCTTTATTCCATCATATTCATTCTCACAGATTAAGGGTCAATAAAAAATATTAACTGATGACAACATGCTAAAAGATAACAGGCTATATAGCATGTCATATCAATGTTTTAAACTGAAATACATTTGCAAAAATCTGACGTATGGAAAAGTGCATGGGGAGCTCTACCAGAAAAATATTCTGGGATCTATAATAAAAGACAAAATGGTCACAGGCCAGGAAACAATTCTCCTTTGAAAAAAATGCAGTGAAGAAACGGCAATTATTTAATTGCTCATTAAAAAGAATTCTGACATCTTTTGTGACAAAGTACTTACCTCATCTATAGCATTCGTTAGTTTTGAAGAAGTGGGTGTCATTATCTTTTTCAACCGAGAATGACCACCTTGTTAGCTACATATTCTATACGAGGGTAGTATTTAGATAATTGCAGTACTCTAATTCTCATATAAACTGAACTGACTGACAGAAAGAGATTCTCTTGTGTAATGAATTAAATGTTACATAAACTACCAATTATGCCCTACCATAGTAAATCAGGAAATAGCTGGTTTCACGGAGGAGACAAGTCAGTCAGTGGTGCATAGATGAGAAGCCATAGTCTGTCAAACAAAAGGAAAATTCCTCCCAGCTATTTTTATTACTAAGAGCAGAAGTAGTCAGTAATTTGTTCATTTTCTATAGGTCTAATCAGACCAAATGTGATCAAAAACATCATAACCATGCAACCTCCGCATGCTTTGACAAAATGGAACCGTGAGTAATGAATGGCTCAGTTCAGTTCTAAAAAATGTGAAACGTGTTGACAAGAAACCTATAAGTATGCTGATTACATCAACTTTTACTTTGAAATTTGTGAACTTTAAGTAAATCACAAAATCTAAAGGTGGGGTGGGGGTGAATGTGAGGAGTGAAAAGGGTGATGTGTCGAAGGAGACAAATGTATACATTTTAATAACAAATGACTGGACATAGATTCAAGACAGATCCCAATGCTGAAGAAGTTGCCCTTTCCTCAAAACCAAAAAATTTTTATACATTACCATGCGATTTAGTAAGCACTATATTGGCAATTCCCTTGATAACAAGAAAATATTTTCCAACATCATATAACTTTAGCATCCTCAACAGAATTCTGCAAATTTCAGAAAATCTAGGTACACCAATAATGCACTAATAATGTATGTCAAGGCCTGGTTTTGTTTGGAGTTTGTGATAATATTTGTTAGTTAGCCTAATGTTGGAACCTCAAGTATTGAGCATTTTATACTTGGCTTGTGCCATGTGGTGGATGGACTCTACGTAAAACAGCTTTTTGCTTAGCCCTTGATACTAAAACATAAGCGACAGAATTTCATGGAGTCCACAAGAGAGGGAAATGTGGTGTGCCGAATGACTTAATTAGGTAGATTGCGAAATTTCGATTTCTCAAGGGTGGTTTGAGCAGCAGCAATTATGTCAGCAGTATGTTTGCAGCATGTCAAAGTTTACATGGGGAGGCAATGGCCTAGTATCATCGCTAGACTGTTAATCTAGAGACCCAGATAATGTTCTGGGGACCTGGGTTCAAATCCCACCACGGCAGATGGTGGAATTTGAATTCAATAAAAAAAAACCTGGAATTAAGAATCTAATGATAACCATGAATCCATTTTCAATTGTTGGAAAAACCTATCTGGTTCACTAATGTCCTTTACGGAAGGAAACTGCCATTCTTACCTGGTCTGGCCTACATGTGATTCCAGATCCACAGCAATGTGGTTGATTCTTGATTGCCCTCTGGGCAATTAGGGATGGGCAATAAGTGCCCTAGCCAGCAACGCCCTTATCCCGTGAATGAATAAATAAAAAAAAACTCGCCTTTGGAGAGTTATGCTCTTGTAATGCATTTCATGCAATGAATATTCATTAAATTGAAAGTTTTCAATAAAATCCTACCTTCAGGATAAAGTTAACAGTGCTAAAAAAAAAATCATCGCACCTGATTCATGATCATTTAAAGGTACAGTCCGTCAATTGGATCTGTGTAGTTTTAAATATGGTAAACAGGTTTCCACATTGAACCCTGCGGCACAAGATGGTGAATGTTAAAATGTGAGTGCTTGGATACAAGGAGATACAGTAGAGGGAAGGGAAGTTATACAGAAGGTGATGTTCAGGTCTTGTGGATGGAAGGGCCTAGCTTTCTGGGTGTGCTACTCCTGAATGGGTTGAGGGTTGGATGAGTCAATTAGAGATTTAAAGATGAATGAAGGGTCTAAATGGTGAAGTCAGTGAAATCAATGGTGGGGGTCCTATGAATCAAATTGAGGGTTTTTGGGGTGGATGTAACAGCTACAGTCAAAGGGAGAAGGTATATTTTGTATTGGGACAGGTCCAGACTCATGGTTGGACACTAGAAAATCTCATGAGATGGGTTAAGAGTATGAAGGAGAATAAAAGGAGAGTTCAGGATCAGGGTGTGCATTGGGATGGTCATGGGGTGGGCAGAGATGGTATCTATAGGTAGATAGTGATGGGGTTCAGGATAATGGAGAGAAGTTGAAGAGTAATAGTGGATTGAGAAAAGGTTATGTTTAATTAGTCAAAGGTGATGGAGGCAAGTGTGCGAATGACAAAGTAGAAGGTACTAGATCAGGTTTTGAATCTAATGTGTAGCATTGTCTGTGACTTATGAAAATGCACATTTGGTTGCTGTATAAAAGTTACAGCACTGCTCAATTTCTATCAATAGTGGCTTCCAGTGAGTGACAATAACCTATATGGCATCTCACTGAGGTGCAAAAAGGAGGCAATTGATGCCCTATTTTGTTTCACTAATGAGTTCATCAATTGCACCGCCATTGAAAGAAGTTGCTAGATCAGGCCGATGTCAATATGGATGACCTTGAACGCAAAACATGATCACTTATACTCAGGTCGCCACAGAAACTCCCAGGATACAGCCAAATACATTTGCAAATTGTAAAGAACTTATCTTCTTGAACGTACACTGCTGTGCAACCACAGAAGAATAATACAGGTCAGTGCTTGTTCCCAGGGAGCTGTCATGTTGCATACAGGGAGGCGATGGCTTAGTGGTATTATCGCTGAACTGTTAAACCAGAGAACCAGGTAAATCATCATAGAATCCCTACAGTGTGGAAACAGGCCCTTCAGCCCAACAAGTCCACACTGATTCTCAGCGCATCCCACCCAGACCCATCCCCCTGTAACCCACTTAATCTACACATCCCTGAACACTACGGGGCAATTTAGCATGACCAATCCACCTAGCCTGCACATCTTTGGACTGTGGGAGGAAACCGGAGCACCCGGAGGAAACCCACGCAGACACGGGGAGAATGTGCAAACTCAACACAGACAGTCGCCTGAGGGTGGAAATGAACCCAGGTCTCTGGTGCTGTGAGGCAACAGTGCTAACCACTGAGCCACCATGCCGCTAATGTTCTGGGGATTTGGGTTCGAATGGCAGATTCAATAAAATCTATAATTTAGAGTCTAATGATAACCATAAATCAATTGCCAGGAAAACCCGTTTGATTCACTAATTGGAAGGAAGGAAACTGCCATCCTTATCTGGTCTGGTCTGGTCTACAAATAACTCCACATGTTGACTCTTAACTGTAAACTGGGCAATTAGGGATAGGCAATAAATGCTAGCCTAGCCAGCGATGCCCTCATCCTGTGAATGAATAAGGAAAAATATACATCTTGGGCAATTCATGGCCCTCAGAGCTTGTTGAAGTCCCAGCTCATACTGCTTAACCAATTATCGGTGACAAGGATCATTCGTTGCACACATGGCTGATAAGGCCAGTGGGGCACCCCATAGTGAGGCACAGGAGGCCTGCAATCAAGCTCATCATGCACTAGAACCATAATAGAGTGTACACTGGCCTTCTTGAAAGATACTTTGTATCTTAACAAGAATGGAGGGACTCAGTAATATGCACCCCAAAGGGTTAATGAATGGTAGTGGACCACCTGGCTCTGCAATGCACCCAGATGTTGCAAGGGGAAGAACACAAGGAAAATCAGCACTTCTTAGATGAGGAGAACTTCTTGGAGCACAAGGAGGAGCCCATGAATTCAAACTGACCTTTCATGAAGATTTTCTGAAGAAGGGTCCTGATCCGAAACATCAACTTTCCTGCTCCTCTGATGCTGCCTGGCCTGCTGTGTTCCTCCAGCTCCACACTGTGTTATCTGTGACTCTAGCATCTGCAGTTCTTACTATCTCTGGCCTTTCATGAAGCCAGGGTCATGGAGACCCATGTAAGGGATGCCAAGGACATCCTGATCAACACAATATTTGTTCAATAACAATACATCTGTATGACCATTGCTATTGCCTTCATGGGATGTAGATCTAGCCCTGCCATCCTCCCTTCCTGATATGTTTTGAAAACTGCTTCCTCCAACATCTATTACTGAGCCATATTTCTCACTCACTCACTCTCCCTCACACACACACACAAAACTAAGGATATCTTAGGGGTACCTAAGCTTTGTCACATTTATAATGCTGAGAGTTAAGTGGCCAATATCAATAGATGCAGGGCTTAAAGCCATGTTCTATAGAATGATCATCACAGAAATAACAATTCAGATGCACTTTAAACAAAGAATGCACAAAAATGCAATTCTGGGTTACTCTCTATGTCCCTACTTGCTTTTTAGCTGTTACAATTTGAAAAATATGATGCTTGGCATGACTGTTATATATGATACCATGATTGGCCACAATGAAACTCAAGTAATCATGAACAATTGCAGAAAAATAATTTTTACTGTGCACATATTT